CAAACTTAATGCACCTTGTTCAGGGTATAGTAAAAATCAACATGTTAACCAAACACAGAAAAGAAATTTTATAACTTTAAGTTACTTACTTGGGATTATAATTTGAGGGGAAMAAATCATGTGAGTTTTCAAATCCATTTTCTCGTGCCACAACCTTTTCATAAATAAGATCCGGATGACTGCATAGTTTCTTCAGCGTGGTAATATCAGCGAGCGCAGTCAATGAAGCCTTTTCTTTGCAATCTATAAATACAAAATTTATCTTTACACGTGTAACATATATAAACTCATTACAGATCAACTTACCGGCTAAGTTTCTTCTGATTTTATCAGACTTAATAAAATTTCTATACAAATACATTTGTATATCACTTAGTTTAGCACAGATTACCATTTCAAATTTAACTGGTAAATATTTTGTGAGTATCTGATTGGTGCGTCGTATAATACATGTATTCACCAGGCGAACTAGTTCTTGTGTTTTCTCTACAGCTCGTTCACGCTCTTTATCTGTGGAGTCTGCATTTTGACCACGTAATATAGGATTTTCGAAATTCCGTTTGAAATCGGCAGTTGAGCCCAACATTTCGGGATTTACAAAATTTACTAAACTAAAATATTCTGTAAGGTCGTTTTGTATTGGCGTTCCTGAGAGCAAAACACGCCGTTTCGTCTTTAATCCCATTAGCGCGTGATATGTCAAATTGTCACTATTCTTCAAACGGTGACCTTCATCACAGATAACCATGCCCATTTCGTTTTTACAAAGTATATTGGCGTATATTCGAAACGTCTCATAACTTATCAAAAGTATTGGTGTACCACAACGTTGACCGCTATCAACTATGAATTGTTCTAGAGCACGTATGGTATCTTCTTTTGAACCGCCTTCAATGGCAAGGCAATGCAAGCGTCCGTGTAACCATTTATTAAACTCTTTTTCCCAATTTTTCACCAATGAGGACGGAGATACAACGATAGCCTTAGAAATAGTAGGTTTACAATATGGACCCTGACGCAGTAATGTCCAAACCAACGTAACGCATTGTAAGGTCTTGCCCAATCCCATTTCATCAGCCATTATACAACCATTGAATGTCCCTCGATGGCCTTCTACACATTCATACATAAACCGTACTCCCTCACGTTGATGTGGCCTCAKAATATTGCTTAATARGGGATCGACAACCACATGTACCTGTATTTTGTTCGAATCCATTGTGAGACGTTCATGTTCTGTATAATTTGGAGGTGTATACAGGACTAAAGCATTACATGCTTGTGGGTCATGTAATGCTTTTCGTACATTGCTACGTCGCATTCCAAGACACCGGTTACCTCCATTGTAATCTGGCACATAATCCGCAATTGGAACTTTAAATGGACGTGAAAGTACTTTGGCAATAGCGAGCTCATATTCACTTAATGGTACTATGCGTTTAATTTGTTTTTGTTTTCGATCAAGCTGCTCTTGACAACTACGAATTCTTTTATTTTGAAGAGGCGGCGTAAAATCGCAACTTGGACGCAGTTTTACAGATCGATTTTGGCTAGGAGCCAAGCTACGCCGCTGTAGATGAAATATTTTTTTAATTATTTTTCATACTGCAGTCTCTTAATTCATACTTACCATTTTTCTTAGGATTTCAATAAATTTGTTTTGATATTAGCGGCATACAACGACGTTGCCAGTATTCATTTCATTTTATATATCATAGATCTATGTTATATATTACTGAATGAGCGTACAATTTGATAACAAATTAATGGAAAATACACCCTGTTTCTAATTTTTGTGAAAGTTTTAAAACTGAATTTTTTATCAACTACAATAAAATTAAAWRACGGTATATTAAATTATCGGTCAGTCATATAAAGTGTAAATTAAATTAATAWTTTTTYAATTAGTATGYCAAACTCTCTARATCTAGGCTCATATAAAGAAGTAACGGAGGTAAATCAAGAATGTTAGAAGCTCTCTAATCAACTCTCTATCATTCTTGGAGGCAAATAGTTGTAATCTACATTTCTAATAGACTTGCTATTTGTTTAACTAAATATTGCTTTAGGAAATATAAATATTTAGTGTGTTCTAAAGAAATTTAATACTGTGTTCCATAAGTAAAACCTATGTGTTGAATACAGTTTGAAAATATTCATTGAATATGAAAGCAATTTTGATTAYGTCTAAGCTGATAATGGCATGCTATCATCTTGTCATTTCTTACGGTATTAAAGGTTTTTTTTTTTTAATATAGTATAAATATACATTTATACAATCATCAAGTTATTCACAAAACAAAATATTTGCAACTCTGTTTATAGCTATATCAAGTGTTTTCCAATGAACAATAATTTTTCGAAGTATAACTTCGAAGATTATTCAAAATGGCTACTCGTGTACGAAGACAAGCGACAATAGCTGGTGGAGCATTATTATAATTATCAGTGCAAGAACCAAACATTTGGATAATCGGAAGTGAAAAAAGTTTTAAAATTATCAAATTCAATGGTATGTGCATTTTTGACAACTGTGGATGTCACACAAATATAACAAGTTGGAACCATTCTCAAACGATCATGAAAATTTGCCTCAGTTTTCATTTCCATATATCGACGTGAGTTGCTGCAGAATATCTCCCTTCGATCCGGGCTGAAAATTCGAAGTTCGAAACTTGCTTCGAATAATTGGCAACACTGAGTGCAATTACGAAAAGACAAAATGGCGATTTTCGACAAATGACTTGTGAATGGGAGACGAGGACGACGTGAATTTTTGTGCTGCGTTGGAGAAAAAATTTTCCATTTGCAATTATCAGATTTAAAGTGAAAATTTTTAAAGAAAATTAGATAATTTTGAAAGAGAATAGTGTATGTTTAATGTCTGCTTTAAGAAAAAGGTGCTTGCTGAGACAAAAATATCATGAGCCAGGTGAGTGCCTAATTGAAATAAGTTCAGAAAATAGTATATTTGACCGCATAAAAATGTAAATATTATGATATTTTTAATAAATAGTGTTAAAAGAAAGTGTAAATTTTATATTGAAAATAAAGATGGTGTTTCCACGATTAGGGTGTGGCTACAATTGAGATTATTTCTTTGGAGTCTCAATTGGGGCTCCTTTGGCAAAAGGTGTATTAAAGACTTAAATACGCGGGTATTTTTATAAAAATGTAGTTTTTTTAAACTAAATTATATTGTTTCACCGTTTTCTTGATCCCTACGTATTCTAGAAAGATCTACGTTTCCGATGGGACTAAAATTTGGAATTTTCATTGGGGACCCATTTTTGCTATTTTAGTTTAAATTTAGAGATTCTGGACGATCTGCAAGTAATTTATCTACAAAATGGTGTAAAACACCGTTTATTTGACGTATAATTTCAGTTTTAAAGAATTTCCACGTGTTACGTAACTGGCGAAACATTGTGAAAATTTTTTAAARTCTGGTTATTAGTTTTTGTGGGTACAAACATTGGTTTTAAGTAATCCTCTTCAGACCATGATAATATTATAAGGCTTTTGCATGCACAACCCATTAAAAATTTTTCTAAATGAATAATTTTTTGATCTTCTAAACATATTTTATGATAGATTATTATTTTAAATACCATGGTATTTTAGAAGGAATTCAGTTGTAATATTGTCTAATTGGTCATTGCTAGTGAGGATTTGCTTTTCTAAAAAGGAAAGTCTATATGCAATTATTTCTATTCATCATTCATTCAGTTAAGAGCCTTTATCTGCAATTATGTACTCTTACTTTTTTAAAACCGAGCAATTGTTTTAAAAAAATTTATATTTTTATGTTTCTTGAAAGGATTGGCTTGTTTTTTGTAAGATGTGGTCTCTATATAATATCTTACAATCAGTTTTTAGCTTGTATATACATATGTAACAATCCTTATTATTATATTATTATTTTTTTTTTGTTTTTTTTTTTGTACGTATGGTGTAATCTCATATGATCTTCAAGAGTTTGATAAATATAAAAAATATGTGTAGTAAAAAGTGATCAAGCTATCATAATCAGTTTGAACTTAAGAAGTAGTTTTCTTTTAAAACATAYATTCGATCACATCTAAGACATTTTTTTAAATGTATACAGTTATAAGAAGAACACATAMTATATACTCAAAGACTTCCATTGAAGCTTACAAAAAATGTATTAGCTTAAGTACATGTTATGTGGTGTGGTAGATTTCTAAAAATCTTTTAGTACTAATTAAAATGTTCATCAATTTTATGGTAAGTAAAATTATTTTTAATATTCTATGGAAAAATTCGGAATGATAACATATTTAAAGGTATTATATTATATATATTATATATATATGTTGTTACAGCTTTATATTTTTTTCTTTAAAATAAAGGTTTTACAATTGAGTGGGGAAATAAAGAATGTATTGGTGTGAGTAATCTCATTGTTCCAGAAATCAGCGTTTTAACATTTGTAATCAAAATAGTACAACAAGAATTTGAACTAAAAGACATAGTTTGCTTTAGAGTTTTACATAGTGTAAATACCCTTTAAAATTTGTATATACTAAGAATTATACGTTTATGTTTATAACTTAAAAATTTCTGTAATACATTTTTTTAAAACGTTTCTCTCTCCTTCATTAGGCGGATATATCCCCTTTCATACCAGCCAATTCAGAAATTGTTGGTAGTTCTCCGTTACCCAAGTGTGAAGCCATTTTGTTAAGGTTATAATTAAGAATTAATAATGTGATCTTGTCCACAAAATATAAGTTAATGATATGAATCGGTATGATATTTGAGTAGCAGGTCTAATTAGAGAACCATAGATATCTTCACTAGGGACGCTTAACGATTCATCACTATAGTTCTACATAATACTCCAAATTATACTATCTACTATCACGATCACCCAAAAAAGTTTTTAAATGACATAATCTTATTTAAAATCTCGTCAATGAGTTTTATTCTATCTGATTTCTGAATCCTACTGTATACCCAAAATAATGGTATAAGAATCAAGAAGTGATGAAATTTTTTAATGCGTGGATGGCACTAAAATYAATCTTATCCGTGATGTCCTTTAAACAAATTTTGGTGTCATACTCTAGAGTATTAATCAACACCTTCAAAATCTCTGCACCTATGAACGTTGTTTTAGGTGAAAATCTCTCACGATATAGATTTACACTTTCTACGGAATTTTTGTCACCTCGTACTCTGATGATAGCACGATAATGACGTCGGGCAATGAAATCGATATTCAAACTTAAACTTCTATCTCCGATATTTCTCTCTTCCTCGTTGAACGGGACCTAACCCTTTCCCTCCACTAAATCCACTACAACCATATTCTCTAACTGGACGAAAAAGTATCGACTTGGCCTTAATATTGCAGTCGATTACGACTGTCAATAACCTTAAGATTTTAGCTTTGATACTCGTCGGCCTGTGCTTCTTCACTCCTCAAACGACCGCAATTATTGCCAAAGTACAAACCTGCAAATCTTCAAGTCTCTACCCGGGAGCATAGGGAGAAAAAGCAAAGGTTCTTTGCAAAATACAAGGCAATCAGCCAGCCCGTCCTCAATGGACGCAATGAAAAGAAGAGGAGGAATCTCAGACATGGCAGAACAGTGCACTCAGGACTACAACGGATGTCTTACATCGAAACTAGTAAGTGAGGCCTCCGTGCTCCCAATTAAGGAGCACAATCAACTTCTTCCCAAGCAGTTTCTGTTCCTGCAGTCATCTGCTCGCACCGGAACCGCCTCCTAGAATCATCAAGAGTTCAACTTCTTCAACTACTTCTAAAACATAAAACAATATGCCGACCAGACTTCGGACGCAACAAACTTCAGACATCCACTGACCGCCATTGACAGTGGAGCCATTAAAACTTTCTCCGACTCCTTTTCAGTGAATGACGAACTTGGAGTCAAGTCATCACCCATTGCAGACGACGAGCTCGAGTTGCCGTTAGAATCTAGAGTGACCCTTGCGTAAATTCGTTCTGGGTACTGTAGCGGGTTAAAGTTCTACTTATCCAGAATCGATTCTGATATATCAAACTTATGTCAAGCGTGCAACAAGCCCCAGCATGGCACTACCACCTTTTTGTAAGTCTTGCTAACACCACACAACTTACGACGACAACTTACCATCATACCGGGGACTAGYTAACCGTTACAACAACGACAAAAACATACCTTCCAGGAAAATCTGAGTAGCTACTATATAAATAGTCAGTAAATGAATGCCTTGAATAAATCCTCTATACAAAGAGCCAAACCGACACATTGGTCTGCGTATCAGGAACGAAGRCGGATATTTATCCGTTCTGCCGTTACAACAACATATTTATCCGTCTATGGACTGTCAACTCTGCAGGATCTTTTCAAATTATTTCAGCGATGTTATCTGCCGTTACAACAACWWCGGTGTTGTTAGCGAGTTGAAAGTCCTTGTGCAATTGTGGGAACGAAGCTGTTCCGCCGAAGTCAGACCATTGTGTTATAAGTCTAAAGCTGTTTCTACGGGGGTCCCGTAGATATCATATCACCAAAGAGGACCAATATCAAGTTTTGTTCTCGTTATATACAGTCGACTTTCGTAAGTCTTAYGCTGTCCTTTGAACTATTTTATTCCTTCATTATTTGTGTTGTTAAACAGTTCTCTGACCAATCCAAAGCATTATACAATAGATAAATGAAAGTAAGTTTGAGGTTTTAACTTC